CATCATCATCATCATCGTCATCATATGATCACCAGTGGCTTTCATGTTTCTCCTAACTTTCATCGCTTTTACCACTTTGCAGTATTGTCGGACGGAGCCTTTTTTGCTCGCTTCTAGACCTTTACGTTCTAACCCTCAGCCACCCAGCAATCCGACTAAGGTGAAAAGGGCAAGCACTGGGAGCTTGCTCTTGCCTACCTTGCTTCGCTTCAAGATGCCACCCTTGAGGCCGATGCAGCGGTGCCCACTCGTACTCCTACCAAACACCGCGTTCAGCATGTGCTTGCAGAGAGACAGAGAAATGAGCCCCTAACTGAGTGGCCCTTGCAGCCCGCAGAGAATCTCCATGAATCTCCACTTCGCGGAAACCAGGCGAATGAGATCTCCTACAACGCCTCCATCAGTGCTTGCGAGAAGGGCGAGCAGTGGCAGCAGGCGCAAGTTTAGGCCTAACAAAATCAAGGCTTCTTCAGTGCGATAGGCTTCGACTCCCGAATCGCTTAAATGCTCTGTGCAAAATACGCCTCAAGCAGATCTTCTTCGCAGAGGGTCTGAGGCTCGAGATGCGGAGCCGATCAAACCAGTCTCATTCTTTCTGCCATCGCTCTTGTGCCCTTGTTGCCATCATCACTTCTCGCACGGATGAGTCCGACACCCGAGAACCATCACTTTGTGGCTCTCTGCTAATCTTTGGGTCCTTCGGTTTTGTGCTCCCTTTCCAACTTCAGTCGTTGAGGTTCGTTCAACAAGGGTTTTGGCACTATGCAGAATCTCCGCCCCCGGTCTTCCTCGTTCGTACATTCCAATTTTGCGTGGAGGATATATGTTTGTCGAGTTTGTTAGCAGCCGTTGCATACATAACTCTTTCACAGAAGGTGATGGTGCTTCAGACCAGATGTGAAGTGCGGCAAAAGTCGTTTGTCCCCCCCCCCCCCCGGCGCCCTTGACAGTATACACTGGGCTTTGTTGAGGTTAGGCCGGTTAGGCGTTGAAGGCTTTGCAGACAACGGACAGGCACCTCAACCACAAGGCCACACCCCGGCCCCCCCATTCAAAAAAAAACAGTTCGCACAGAATGTCTTATTCGCCGCAGGCCCTGGCATTGTTTGCGGAGGCACGGGTGGCGACTGTGCGCAAGGATGCATCTCAGCAGCAGTTCTACCTTGCTGCGGGTTTGAGGATCCATAGCACAGAACCTGAGCCAACCAGTCCGATTTGGATGTTGCCCATATCGAAAGCTGTCCACAGATTCTGAGACTTGAGCAGAGTCCCTACTAGGTCATCACCTTCAATGCGACTTTGAGCGCCTGCGAGAAGTGCGGGCAGTGGCAGCCCGCTTTGGTGCTGCTGCAGGAGGTGGAGCAGGCCAGGAGCCTCGATTTGGGGACGTGGGCTTGGGGCAGCTTCTGCAGGAACACTGGCTTCGGCTTGGTAGCAATTTGGATAGGGTTTCAAGAGCGTCGACATCCTGCAAGCTCGAAGCCTCTCCCTCAGACCCGAAGCACCCGGGTGGCACAGGCCCGACTGAAGAGAGGAACCATTGCCTTCAATGCGGCCCTGAGTGCATGTGGTCGAGGCGGCCGAGGGTATCTGCCTGGGGGCTTCATCCCAGAGCACTGCGGCTGAAAGAGTGGACAAATGAACAGACATCTGAGCCGTAAGCTGTGGATCCGGTGACGGAGCCGGAAGCCAATGTAGGCCGGATGAATCAATGCTGTTGAGGCGAAGCGTGGGGACATGCCGTTGCGCTGTTGGCAGAGCTGCAGGCACTGGCAAGGGGAGGGGCCCTTGTTCTTCGACGCTGCCAGTGTCCCCACTCGGGGCACGCACACAACAATTGCCACCTAGAAGTCTATCCGAAGGCCCAAAGAGGCCAACAGCTGTGCCAGACGGTGAACCCCGAACCATCATTTCAGAGCCCTTCCACCGCATCAATCAACTTCCGAATCTCAGATCTTTCCTGTTTATCTGCCGTCCTGCTCCGTTTCTCTCCTTGCGCCGTTGTAGAGCCCACTCCTGCTCTCCCCAGTCGGTCTGTTCTGTTCGGATCAAGTGCCTCTCGCCACCGATGTGTTTGAGCAGCCACCGCGTTTTGCGAGCACAGGGTATATATCCCTTGCTGCCGGCTGAAAGATCCATGCATCTCGATTAGCCTATCGGTTCTACCGTAAAGAACCTCAGGCCAGCCGAGTGCCGGCCTCCGAAGTCACTTACAATGCGGCTATCACCGCCTGCGAGCGCGGCGGGGAGTGGCAGCAGGCGCCTCGCGTGCCAGAAGCCCTAGTAGGCGAATTCATTCGCTCAGGGGTTCTGTGGGTTTCGGTGCTTGATGATTTGCCCTTTGGAATGGGGCTTGTCCGTCATGTTGACTTCGATTTAATAACCCCCGCCTCTCGATTGATTCGATTCGATTTCGGGCCCCGCAGGGTTGATCGACTATTGAGGGGGGGTCCCGGTACCACTACGCTCGCTCGGCGATTCTGGGATGGCTGACAAAAGGGCCTAAGCGTTCTGTGAGGAATCAGGGACGGGATTATTGTCTAGCTCCCGGGGTCAGTATTTTGATTGAGCGGGCGTTGACAATTGAGTTCCGGGACTCGAGTTTTTTCTTACATGAGGTGGGGTTTATACCATTGAAGTTTTAACATCATGCAGTGTTGGAGGGTGTGAGCTTGCTGACAGGATGCGGTTTGCATCGGGACCAACCCGGCCCTGAAACTGTCATCGACCCCTCGAATGGCTGCAACATGGCACTCAGGCTAAGCTTCAGTTACCGTCTAGTCAGTTCATCGTTGTTGAAACTTTTCAAGATCTGCGATTAAAAGAGTAGGCGTGGCAGCAGGAGGAGGAGGAGTCGTCGTTGTTGTATCGTCGTGGTAGCAAGCGTAAGTGGAATCGGCGTTTTGGTTGCCGTCGTCGTCGACGACGACACCGTCGTCGTCGTCATCGTCGTCTTGGTTGTCGTCACAGCTGCCGTCCCCGAGCTGACAGGCGCTGGCGGCTTTTGCGGCTCTCCGGGTGGAGGCACCTCCATCGGACAGTTTGCAGGTCGACAGTCTTTTGAGCGAAGGGTTCCGGTGCGAGCCCCTCACTCGGAAAACTGGAATGGGCTGAGCTTGAAGGTTCTGAGCCCAACATAGTTCGGGCCTGGGCCGGAACGCTGCTGAGCCTCAGCCACAGCAACAGAGCCAAGGCCAACCGCTGCAGTTACAATTTCAAGCTCTGTGGGCGATCTCGAAAGGCCCTGCAGCCCACGTCGATTAGCTACAGCGCGGCCATCAGTGCTTGCGAGGTGTCTGGGCGGGCCGGAAAGAGTCCTTGAGCCCTGGGGCTGGGGCTTCGGGATGTCGGGGCATAGGCTTTTCGGCTCGGACGGTTTGGAGGCCGGGTTAGGGACGTCTGTGAAAAGCCGCGTTGTGGATCAGCAGAACCATGGTCTGCAATGATACCCGTAGAAGAGAAAAGACGAATCGTGCAAGCATCTGTTTTCTGACAGGAACCACCCTCCTCCTGCTCATCATCAACCACCACCACCACCACCAACACCACCACCACCACCGCCGCCACCACCACCACCACAATAATCTTCACCATCGTCGTCATCACCTTCATCAGCGTCACTGCCGCGACCATCGCCATCATCACCGTCATCATCACAATCATCATGACCACCGTCATCCTCCTCCTCCTCCTCCTCATCGTCATCATCATCATCATCTTCAGCATCAGCCTCAGCCTCAGCATCAGCATCAGCATCAGCATCTGTAGCAGTAAGGTTTCATCAGTCACAAGTAACACTCGTTCTTGGTAACATGTAAAAGGGGGGTCAAGGGGGCTCTGCCATCGTACTATGGAACCATCGCAGCATCAGTAGCAGTGGCAGATATGGCGGTAACAAGGTCAGTAACAACAACGCGACAACAAGGGTACAAATCATCGTAATGAGACAGTGGCAACAGCACTGTTCGAGCGGACCCTGGCTGGAGTGTAGGGCTTGAGGAGGCTGAGCGATCCAGCCCAAGCCGAGCCCCTGAGTTTCCGGGAGGCTGGCAAAGAGTGGGCATGGGCGCTGGTGCTTTTGCACGAGCAGCTCTGGCTTTCAGGGGCGAGACGTCTTTCAGCCTCACCAAAATCCACCTTTTTAAGGGGAACACACAGGGGTTTTGCCGGCGTCTCGAGACCATGGAGCCATAGAGTGTCTAGAGCTTCGGGAAGGGTCAATCTGAGGGCTGCTGAAGGTCCAGGGGTCGAGAGGCTGTCTCTCATTGAGCCAGAACTCGGAAGTCTTGCGCAATCTACAGTAGCTGCTGTCAACCTGTTTGGAAGCCTTGCTCTATGTGTCCCTACGTCGTGCTGACGTGCTGCTTTCAAGATTTGACCATGGATAGCAGGGACCTACTTACCAAATCAAGATCCCAATTCTGACAACCACCCAAGCCAAGCCTTGTGGAACGGGTCTGCAACGGAAGAGAGAGGAGGACTAGGTGAATGCGACTTCTCAGCTTGCATTCAATGATTGCATAAAGCCCGGTCCTTCTTGTTGTTGCAATTTCGAACTTGTGGTGTTGAGCTGTCGCACCGTGTCACGCTCTTCTTGTGGTTGTGATTTGACCTTCGAGGCACGGCTAGCCAACCACCGGAAGGTGCTTCTTCACTGCAAAACCAAGAAAGTGTGCAAGGCCTTGCATCAACACTGGCATCCCAAAATGCCCCGAGACAGCCCGCAGCCACTTACGGGTTCCTCAGTTTCAACCCAGGTTCCAGATTGCTGGCCTGGAGCTCACCTTGCGGCCCTTCCGAGCCGCCCTGAGCGCCTGTGCACCTCGGGTGAAGGGGCTGAGTGGCGATTCTTTCATTGCGACCGCGCGGGGGGGGGGGGGGGGCATTAAAGTCGTCCGTGCCATTCGCACCAAATTCACTTATTGTTCATCGCCCGTGCTTGTCTGCTAGTGTTGTTAGCTCTTGAGCAATCAAGATCAATAGCATGTATTTGTCACTGTATCCGCATACGACCTATCCAATGCAATGCGCAGACCGACGTTCTCTCTCTTTTTTACACGTCGAGGTAAAAGATATCGATCCGATCGGCAGCAGCTGTTTCTATTCGACAGTGAAACACGAGGACCTGAGTGGCTTAGGGGGGGATGTAGCTCGGGTGACAGGTGATTCAGGCAGGGATGGAGAACGGCATTAGCAACAGTATTTGTGGCTAATGCGGCCACCTGGAAATGCAGATGTGTAGACCGGCAACAAATTAAACAAACAATGGATGCGAAGATTGGTAAGTGAAGTCAGTAGCGCCAAGCGACTGCCTGGCTATGGATGAGCGGCGAACAGCTCCTGCAAGCTCAAGCAAAAGCAAGCGCGGTCAGGACGTGATAAGCAGCCGAGCGCGTATGCAGTTGACGCATTTATGACATGTGATGATCTGGTAAGGACATCGAATGTGTCTACCACAGGAGTGGCAGCAGTGCACCGGGGTGGCATGGCACACAGTGTCCGGCTTTTCTGCGGTTGATTACACATGACAAGTTGCCTTCAATGCATGTCCCGTAGTCCAGGGAAGCCGGTAAATACGCTGAGCAATGAACTATAGTTGCAGAATACAGCATGAGTCTGAGTTTAGACCACGAACCTCGCTTGAGAGATTCATGCTAGGCATCCTGAAACAAAAGACCCGGACGGCATACCCTTCATACGAACCAAAACCAAGGAGGGGCGTCCGAGCTTGTGAACGAATGGAAAAACTCTGACATGTCCCTGGTCAAACCAGCAAAAACCCCCACCCATGTCGTGGACCCCTAGCATCAACAAAGCTATCGCTGTTGCATGCAAACGAACCAGCCAAGCTCTGCTGAACGGCAGTCAGCACTC